CTTTGCATGCACAAGTGCTTATCCTGGGGTAGCTTTCACTCTGAGGTAGCGGCTCTCCATATGTGGTCCAGGTAACCCTGAAGGTCCATGAGACCCTTTCAGGGGCTACTTGAAATCAAAATTATTTTCATGATACTACTAACTCATGACTTAACTCTTTCACTCTCATTCTCTCCTGAGTGTACAGTAGTCTTCCAGAGGCTACACGACCTGTGCTAGCACAACAGAATGAATGAAGAACCCGAGATTTGCGAAAGTATAAAACCATGCCACTCCTCTCATCAAATACTTATGTTTGGGGAACCATAGTTATTTTTCATAAAACTATGTTAACACATAATGAGTTTATAATTGCTATTTTTAAATGAGTATTTTTAAATTTCTCATTTTAATTTTGAATATACATATATATGATTCATATTTTAAATGCTCTTTGTGGTACTTAATAAGTTTTAAGAACATAAAGGGATCATAAGATCAAGAAGTTGAAGAACAATTGCGCTAGGGTGACCTGCTCGGGCTTTTCATTGGCGATCATCCAACCATCAGAATCTCTTGGTTTTTCCCTTGGGTTGGTGGTTTTCCCCACGAAAGAATTATCCACTCTCCTGCTTAGAAACTTTCAGGGACTTCTCACTGCATTTAAAACAAAACTTCTAAACAAAGCCTACAAAATCTGGAACTTGCTTATTTCACTGTTGCAATCTTGTGTAGCTCTCCCATTCACTCATTATGCTTTGGCCACATCAATCTTCATTCGGTTCCTTTGATGGATGAAGCTTCTACCTGCCTCAAGGCCTTTGTACTGTAGGGAAACGGCTCCACCATGATGCCCTGCAACCTTACACATCTCCACATAGTCCACTTAGGCAATGCTGGAACCTCAGCTGAATCTAAGTCTTGGCGGAATGTTTTGTGATCTTTCTGGGACACAGGAAGGCTTGCAAGGAGCTGCTGCAAGGCCATTTGTCACTCACTTCCCTATCTACCAGAGGAGTTGCCATGAGTCGGTTTCTCATAGCCTCTGGGTCTGATGGGGTCTGTGGCTTTCTGTCACAGCCCGCTAAGGACACAGCTACAAACTCTAATACTCTTTAACGACAGCAGGCCATTGGCTCCTCAGCAACAGGGTGTCCTAACATCTGTGTCACAGCCATCTGGCCCAATTCATTTCAGCATTGAACCACACAAGGGCCCCTAGGAGCTGGCACCTTTGGCTACTCTTCCTTTTTCAGTGTCTATGTAAGTAACAAACTAAATGAATCTAAAAAGGGCTCCTTGTCCCTTTACCAGCCACATCTATCAGTTGTGCCTTACCTGTGCCTGACATGTGCATGCTATTCCCTCTGCTTGAATGCTCTCCTCCCACCTCACCAACATTTTCCACATCTCATTTCTTTAGATTGTATCTTAAACATCACCTCCTCACAGAGGTCTCCTTGACCAGCTTGTCCAAAATAGACCCCTTTTGGCAGACACACTGTTGGTTGCAATTCTAACATCCATTCTCCTTTCTATCCTGCACCTTGTTAACAAGAACCCCAATTTTGATGTGTTAAGGTTTAGGTGGCCATGTGGTTGACTCTTGATTTGTTAAGTTCCGACATGACAGTGCCATTCCTTTGCCAATGACTGGTCTAGAAATGGGCAGATGATAAAATTCGGCCCAACAACACACAAGGGGATGTCTGGTGGGTGCTTCTGGGAAACCTCACTCTTATAAAGGGACCCAAAAATGTAACATGCCCTTTTCCTGCCTTTTGGCCTTTGGTTATTGTTGTGTGAGAACATTAAGCTTGAACCTTCTGCAGTCACCTTGTGCCCTTGAGGGGACAAGCACGAGGACAAAAGTCAACACCTGAAAATGGCAGAGCTAAAAGATGGAAAGACTCTGCATCATGGATGGCCTTTGTGAGCACTAAATTAACCAAAACCCCAGAGCTGCCCTAACCTGGGACTTGTTGTTTGACATAATGTATTTCCTTATTGCTTAAGCCAATTGAGTCCACTTTTCTGTTACTTGCAATCAAGACCTCCCTTATTAATTCACGCATATCCCCAATCATCTAACATGATGTCTGGAATATGATAGGGCTGCAATATATGAGGTCAGAAAATTAAGTTCATGAACTCATCCTAGAAAAAGTGCTACCTACCTCATTGCTGGATATCACTTAGTCACCTTCGAAGCACTCCCCTTGGGAAGCTATGCACCGATGCCACTGCCTAGTCCACCTTCAAACCAGTTTTGGAACTCTTTTTCTGGAATGGCCATCAGAGCTGTCATATTACCCTTGATGTCCTGAATGTCATCAAAATGTCTTCCTTTCAATATTTCCTTTATCTTCGGGTAAAGAAAGAAGTCATTGGGGGCCAGGTCACGTAAATCGGGAGGGTGTTCCACTACAGTTATTTGTTTACTGGCGAAAAACTCCCTCCCAGACAGTGCCATGTGAGCTGGTGCATTGTCGTGATGCAAGAGTCACGAATTGTTGGCGATAAGTTCATGTTGTCTCACTTTTCCATGCAGCTTTTTCAGCACTTCCAAATAGTAAACTTGGTTAACTGTCCAGTTGGTACAAATTCCTAATGAATAATCCCTCTGATATCAAGTTTCCAAACTTAATTGCCAGGCCTGTATGTGTGTTAAGTGAATGAAGAAAAAGAGATGTTCTACAATTGTTTGCTTTAATTACTGCCTTCCCATGTTGGCATTGAGCCAGGAAGTAGAATCAACCTTTGGGTATTACTTACAGAGCACCCATTCCCACAGCTTGGAAGAGCACAGGCTATGGTATTAGACCTATCTGCCACTTATGAGCTGTGTGACTGTAAGCAAATTATTTGACTTCTCTGAATCTCGATTTCCAAAAATAGTGATATGAAAACAGGGTTAAGTATTTATGAAGCAAGTGGCCCACAGTCAGTGTTCAAGATATATTTGTTCTTATCCCTAGTCTGCACACCTGACTGGGAAAAGGAACTGAAGGGGAAAATGCTCTATGTAGCAATGAACTGGACTCACTCGTAGAGCATCTGATGCACTAATGCGGCTCTACCCCTAATCTTTGCCTCATCACTTGGGAATCAAACTATTCCCAAATACCCTTCTCAGTATCCTTATCCTTCATCCTTCCCATCTCTCCATCTACAACTAGCCCAGGTCTACACAACGCTCTCATGTCACATGAGCTTTTCCCATTGCCATTGCTTCCCAGGACACAATTTGGGGGAGTGGAACGAATATAGGGTTTAAACCTAGAAGATCTGTGTTCCAGCCCAGTCTGGCTCTAACTAGATGAATGACCATGAGTAAGTCATGTAGCCTCTGACCCTCAACTTCCTTATCTGTAAAATAGGGTTGATGAGTTGTAATCATGCTCCAGTGGGATACTCTACATACACAGACTTGAAAATTATAAAACATTATACAAAAATTCGTTTTTAAAAAAATATTTTCAGCATTCCTGCTAGTGAGATTAGAAGCAAACAATACGAAGGCTATTCTTGCAGGATTCTGGCCACAGCCTGCCTAACCAGCCACTTCAATGCCCTGCATTATTCATTCATTCAGCAAATACTTATTGTGTTCGCCCCCTGTATACCAAGCACTATTCTATGTTCTGGGACTAGAATTAAAGTTTTAGTTCTCATAGAACATGCACTTTAGTAGTCTGGGGAAAAAATTGTGATTGGTTAAGGCAAACTCATACCACCTGGAGAGTGCTGCCATGGATATCTCTGGTCATTTGATTTTTCCAAGTGGGGACAAAGAAGGGGGCCAGAGAGGAGAGAAGAGAAATGCAGGAAAAAAGAAGTTGAAAGAATCCAGTCCTACTAGAATCCAGAAATGGGCCAGGTTTCATCAAAATTAAGTGTCCATACACAACTTAGGTAGTATCCCAGCTAAGAATGCAAAACCTGAATCTAATCATGAGGAAACATCAGACAATCCCAAAATGAAAAACATTCTTCTTCTTCTCTTTAATGTACTAAAAGACAGGAAGGCTGAGGAAATTTTTCATATTAAAGGAGACTAAAGAAACATGAGAAATAAATACAATTCCTAATGTTAGACTGCATCCTGTATTCCTGTATGGCGGGGGTGTGGGGGGGTGCTCTATAAAGTTCATTATTGAGTCAATGGGCAAAACTAGAGTGCAGCAGGTAGGTTAAAGTTACTCAAGTTATATAAAAGGATGTCCTTATTAGAAGAGAGAAAGAGAGAGAGAATGAGGAGAAAGGAGGAAAGAAGAGAGGGAGGGAGCAAATGATAAAGCAAATGGAGCAAACTGTTAGCAATAGACGAACTGGGATGCACGTGAGTTCTTTTTACTATGATTGCTGCAACTCTTCCAAATAAGACGTTTTTTAAAAAAATGTGTCCATGAGACCTGGACTCTAAATCAAGCCCCTTTGCTAAATGGGTGCTTGACCCTGAATGAATCCCTTCTTCTCTCTGGGCCTCGTTTTCCAGCCCAGATGCTTTCTAAGGTTCTCTCTGGCTGTGGCAATCAACATCCCAGGACTCTGAGGACGTTTCCAGGCAGGTCCGTGAATGAAGGCTGCTCCGCGGTTTCCTTCAAGGTCTCTCACCCCGCCAGTTATTTTACCATAGCTTTCTCCAAGGTTCCCACGCATGCTCTTTAATCAGCTGTAAACCTGCCCCAGCCCAGCTCTGCCACCAGCCGCAGGCCCAGCCGCTCTTTCGGAAGGCAATAGGGCCCATATTCGGGGAGGATCTAGCATCAGTTCAAGACAGGCACGTGCATTTATCCCCAAGGAACTACAGCCCCCAAAAGGCGTTGCGGCAAACTGTCGGCGTTTACCACCAAAGAGAAAAGGCTTTTTAGCGTGGGCTAGCAGCTGCATGACTGCTTGGGAATTGTAGTTCATCTGTGAATTACCGAGCAACCAGGATATGGCTGCAAGCCACACTTCCCAGAATCCACAGCGCTCTTCTAGACCAATCGGAGGCGCTGATCTTGGAAGGAGGGAGGGGGAAGAGGAGGAGTTGCCGGGCGCGTGCGCAGTAAGTGTGGCTGTGGAATTCATGTGGAGGTCAGACTGGAAGCAGGTGAGAATGGAGGGGGATGGCTGCGTCCGTATCTGGCCAACTTTGCAGTCCCTCTCTGCACTCTTTGTCGCAGTTTGGGCTAGCGGCGTGCATGCGTGGTTCCGCTTCGTGGGAAAGGGCAAAGAGGGGGAGCCCAGGACGAGCCAGGAGTTGCGTAGAGTAAGGAAGGTGTGTATGGGGGCAGGGTGAGGAATAATCCAGAAGCTATTAGAAATGGAAGAGCTCAGTGGTAAGGCCTGGGCGTCCTGGCCTTGGGAAAGGAATATCTAAAGGCACGAGGAAAGACCAAGGTAGTCTGGGAATGAAGGAGGAAGGATTTGAGGCAAGTTGACGACGGCCAAGGGGCGGGGCATTAAAAAGTTAAAGTGCTGGAGTGGATTCTCCTTAGGTCAACCGTGCTCCCGCCTCAGGCCCTCTCCCACGTGTTCTTTGTTATCTTGGACTCAGAATGTCATCCAGCTCTTGCTTCCATAATAACAGGTCATTCTTAATACCTGATGTTGAGAAGCTGTATGATGAGTTAAGCTGAGCCTTCTGGAGTTAGGACCTCTGGGTTCTAATCCTGGTTGGGCCACTTACTAGTAGCGTGATCTTGGGCTCCTCGTGTAACCTTTCTGTGTGCCTTGTTTTCCTCATCTGTAATAATCTACTTCATAGGGGTTGGAGTGAGGATTAAATAAGTTGCCATTAGAAGACTGATACAAAGGTTGGCTATGATTGTTATTTTTGCTGTGGGAATCACCAAGTCGTGCATTCTTTGGTTTATTGTTCCGAACCAAAATTGCACAGAACCAGCCACACAGCCTCTCTCTTTGGGGCCTGCTTGTCCAGAAAATGGGAGGGTGGTTTAGGGTGGTGCTAAGTTCCCTATGGATAGCGAGTCCGTGCCTTGTTCCCGTTATTAAACCAAGTGCTCCAGACTCCCTTTCTTAAATGATAGAAAAAGAAAAAAGCAAAGGAATTGATACTACAGTTTTTCAAGCTATTGATACTACAGTTTTTCAAGCTATAGAGTGTTATCTGTTAGATGTCTTTCTTTCATTGGATGATGTAGAGCGCTCAGGAATGGGGAAATAAATAAATAGCCAGCTTGAGAAGTGAATATTGTGAAACAGAGTGCTTTCTTTGAGGATTTTGGGATCAAGTTGTTTTGTTTTGTTTTTTTACCCCCTTAGGTGTGAGGGGGCCCAGCAGAAGGAGACATGACTGCCAAAGTGTTTGAGTCCATTGGCAAGTTCGGCCTGGCCTTGGCCGTTGCAGGAGGCGTGGTGAACTCTGCCCTGTATAATGGTGAGGCACTGAGGGGTAGTGGGTCACTGCCCTTTGCTGGAGGATTTCTAGAGGTCTGCACAGCCCATGGGATCCTCCTGATGGTAGTGCTGCTGTCTGTGAATGTGTTTGGACCAACAGGACTCACCTCCTGCCATCCCACACTGTATGGTTGCATTGTCATCAGAGCCCCTGTTCTTTTAGTTGTAGGTTCTCTCAGAGCCTTTATTCACAAAGAGCCTCCCAGCCTGGTTTCTGGTTGGATGTTTCCAGCTGCTCTTGTTCATTTGAAGTGATGCTGCACCACCCAAATGCTGCAGCAGTGTTGGGATTTCACTGGCTAGCTGAAATGGAGATCTCATTTGTTCTCTTCTGCCTGATGTGTGGAATAACTAACTCAGCAAGGGCTTTAGACCTGTGGTGACCTTGTCCTGAGCAGGAGTTTTTGCTCTGCTGCAGTTAGGTCATTGCAGAGAAAATACCTTTGAGACGCGTAGCCCAGCTTTTAGCACTTTGACAGGGGTTTAAGCTGGCTTTTCTTCGACTTTGCTGTCTGACCTTATGCAAGTCACAGCTTCCTCGTTGGTCAAGCAATGGGATGGAACTCGTTTATCTCTAAGACCCATCCTACTGTGATATTCTCAAACCTTCACTGTTGGAAAGCAGTAGTGGATTGACCCATCTTGGGTGTGACGTGTGTGATGTCCAACAAGAGGAGGATTAATTTCAGAGTGAAGATGTTTGGACCAACTGTGATGTCCAGAAAGGCAGAGACAGAAAGCAGCTGATCAGAAAAGCCGGCTTGGCATACATGGCACAGCTTTATGCTCTGATCTTTTTGGCCACCACTGTACAACCGGACAGTAATCACCATCATCAGTTTCTCTCTGAACCAACAAGACAGCTCTATAGCCCCTCGAAACCTTGGAGAAAACAAGCCATTGGAAAGAAAGAAGGGGACCTTTCAAATTTTAGGATTCCCATAATGAGGGTGCTGCTTCTGGGAACACTGGGTTAAATTGGAACCAGGTTTCACTGTGGTAACAGTGAAGATTTGGAAAATTTTAGAAAGAAGTTTTGGGAGATGATTTCTGGAAATGTGTTGGAGAGAGTTTGGGGATGGGGTGGTTAATCAGAAAATCAGCAGTCAGTTGTTTCAAGGAGAAAGGAAGCTGAGGAATAGATCCTATTACCGAAGTCCTTGGAAAGACACATGGAACAGGAAGTGATTGCTTAGTTTTGTAGCTATTTAAAAGCCTCTAGGGACCAGAAGTGCGGGGAAGGTGGAGCAGGAAAAGGGAGATTTAATAAATGAACAGAAAGCATCAGGGATCTTTCAAAGGCATAGTTCTTTTGGTTAAAGGGTGAGGGGATTTTCTGACCTGTCGTTATTCTTCATTCCTAGTGGACGCTGGGCACAGAGCTGTCATCTTTGACCGATTCCGCGGAGTGCAGGACATCGTTGTAGGGGAAGGGACACACTTTCTTATCCCTTGGGTACAGAAACCAATTATCTTTGACTGCCGCTCTCGACCACGGAACGTGCCAGTAATCACTGGTAGCAAAGGTGAGTCTTGGCTGTGGGTAAGGTAGAGAGGGTGGAAGGGGTGCTGTATGATCGAGAAGAGGTTGAACATATAAGAATTCCTAGTGTGGTGCCCAGTTAGCTCAGGTGGTTAGAGCACAGTGCTCATACACCAAGGCTTCTGGTTCGATCCCCACATGGGCCACTGAGATGTGCCCCCCACAACTAGATTAAAACAACTACTTGACTTGGAGCTGATGGGTCCTGGAAAAACACACTGTTCCCCAATTGAAAAAACAAAAACAAAATTCCTAGCATATTTTCCCTGGAGAGTTTTATATGGATTCATAGAAAGAAATATATACTTTAGATACACACAGACAACCATATAAATTTAGAGAACTACACAGAGATCTATTTCAAGAGTTATACAGTGGTCCAATTTTAGAGAAAGCTTAAGTGCCTTTGCTCCTCCAGTTGACCCTTCCCATTGGTTCTTGTTGCCCGGAGTGACTATATAAAGCAATCTCTAGCCGTTCCATTTGCCGTCACAACCTTGCTTTCCAAGGCCTCTGTTTCCAGCAGCGCTGACCTCACATTGTTATCTCACAGACTGAGACCCACATCCCTGAGAGCAGTCTTCCTGGTGTCCGACACACCACTGGATTCCCAGTCGCAGCCTAAAATGAGTTGCTATCGTTGTTCTCCCTCCATCCTACACGTAGAGGTACACAGGCAGTAAATGGAATAGCAGATGCTAGCTTAGCATTGACATTTCCACACAGCCAGAGGAGAGGGTCACGTGGATGTTGGTCTTTCATCTCGATAACACTCCGTGTCTTCCATGCTGTTCCTCGGCAGCTGTTTGCTTACTGCGACTATGCCAGGCTTTGTACTGGGTCGGAGGGTGGGGGCCATTCAGAGGTGACTAAAGCAGGGGCCCTTCGGAGCTCAGTCTAGCTAGGAAGATGGCCATGTGAACAGGTAGGTACAGTGGAGTGTGGTGAGTATTAGAGCCAAGTGGCCTCTCAGGGAGCAGAAAGGAGAGCTGCTAGTTCCCACGGGTGGCTGGGGCAAGCTCCTGCGAGGAACTTAGGTCTAAGCTGGAGCTAGAGTCTGAGCCGTGCATTGGGCAGAGGTGGAGGGAGGGTAAACTGGTATTGTATAATCTGTCCTGTATCTTCTGGCCAGCGAGAGGAAGGCGCCTCCTGTGAAGGGTCTGACTTGCCTGCTACAAAGAGGAAATCAAAGATAGGGTGGGGTTCTTCGAGAAACATCAAAATCTGAACTTAAATTTTGCCTAGATCTAAACTTTCCACCTCTGTGGGCTTTCTTCCTCTACTGTTTTGCAGTTGTTCTGAGGACACATTATGTTCCTATCTTCAGAACTGTTGCTAGGGACTTCCAGAGATCAGGGACTTGTGTGGATACATTTCCCATGTTTCTTGGTGCCTGGTTCGGGACCCTTATCTCATGGGCTGTTGGTCCATATTATTGATGACTGCAGGCAAGCTGTGACAGTACTTTATCTCTGAACAGGACTGAATTGTCAGGGGAAGTTGTATTTCCCTCCCTGGCTCCTTTGACTGGGCCAAGGAATGAGAAGCAAGCTCTAGATAATTCTGATAGCCTCTTAACATCTGTTGAACATTGATAGTTTTTATATCTGTCTTCTCCATCAGTTTCCCCCAACGTGCCTGGAAGGTAGATGAAATCATCCCCATTCTTATAGATAAGGAACAAAGCCGAAACTGGCTAAGGCTTAGTGAGGTCACTTAATTAGTAAACAGCAGAGTGGGACGGTAGCCCAGGCCTTTGGACTGCTGGTTGAGTCCACAGTGGACTGTTCCCTAGGCCCACGGAAACCTCACTGAGGCAGCTCCTGTCTTGGACCACGTTCACCAGGCCTTGGGAAGGCCTCATTATAGAGTTCTTGGCATTGGCCTGTTTTCTTAAATTACTCAGTATTTGGTCGAAATATCCCACAGCACCTACTGGACATATAATCTTAGTTGCTTGTATCAGAGGGCATTCAGGACATTACTGGAAGGCCATCATCTCCAGAAACCTTTAAGAAGCTCCTCACTGGTGCGCTGCTGGGTTCCCTGTCACAAGGCAAGGAAAGCAAGCCTATGTGCTCCTTGCCCTCTAGGGTCTTCTCATCAGCAACCTGACTTAGATATTGTAGCACATGGAGGGTAGGAGAGGTCATACAGGAGGCCCCTGTGGTTTTCATTTTTAACTCCAGCATTTGTCTTCCGCCCTAAGATTTACAGAATGTCAACATCACCCTGCGCATACTTTTCCGGCCAGTTGCTAGCCAACTTCCCCGCATCTACACCAGCATCGGAGAGGACTATGACGAGCGAGTGCTGCCATCCATCACTACAGAGATTCTCAAGTCAGTGGTGGTGAGTGGACAGGGCCTCAGCCCCAAGCCGAGAGCGCCAGGTGGCAGGAAGAGCTTGGGGGCGTTGGGATGTGACTGGTAGTGTCCTGGCTTTCTCTCTGCTTCCTCGTTATCCTGACGGGGTCCTCTGCTCTCCCTGGGAACCAGGCTCGCTTTGATGCCGGAGAACTCATCACCCAGAGAGAGCTGGTCTCCAGACAGGTGAGCGACGACCTTACGGAGCGAGCCGCAACCTTCGGCCTCATCCTGGACGACGTGTCCTTGGTAAGCTCCTTGGGGAGCCTGCAGGGATGGGGTTTCAGCACTTGTTGAGGTGCCCAGCTCCATTTCCGGGTAGATACTCTTAGTTGCTGCCTTCCACTTTCCTAGATGTGAACCTTGAAAACCCGGAAACTTCTTGATGGATTGAGGCCAACTCCTTGGGTTTGTTTTCAGACTAGCGTTCTTTTATCTCACCTCTGCCACACACATTTTTCCTTTGACTTCTGGCCCTACCCACGGGGGTAACCTAACCATGAGTTTTTTTCATCTTCCCTGATTAGTGAGTGTTCCCTAGCGCGCCCTAGGAAGTGATATCTTGTTAACCATTTGACACAGGAAGAAACCGTCCAGTGAGACCAGAGAACTGCTCAGATAGTCTTTCTCCCTAGCGCAGACCTCCCAGCCTGACCCCTGGGAATTTCCTAGCTCTTAGGGTCTGAATGAAGCTCAGTGAAGTGAGCTCTGGGAACCCCAGTGAAAGGTGATAGAGTGTAAATGAATAGTTCTGTTCCCCAAAGCTGGGTATGGAGGGCAAGGGACATCTCTGAGGCGTAAGCAATCCTCTTGAGACTGCATATCCGTGTATTTATATGACACTGAATGCTATAACTCAGATGGAAAGCAATACAGGCGGGATAGCATTTCAGATGGAGGAGGTGAGGGGCAGGGTCATGTTTCTAGATTCTCTGGGAAAAATCACGGGGAGTGATTTGTTCAGGTGGTGAGGTAGACTGTTTCCTGTTCAGTTCTCCTGTGCATCGCTAGGGAAAGGCACTATTTCCCCCTCAGCATCTGTGCAGCTGTTTCAACAGTCACGCTCTACAACACCCAGTGCTAGCCGCAGGGCACAGCGCCACCTTGCATCAGTTGCTGGCAGTGGAAGGGCTCGTGGGCTCCCTCTACTGGCAAGGCTCCAGACTGCAGCCATTTGGCTCTGATGAGCAATTCCTCGGGCTCTCCCACTTACTGTTAACCTGAACACCTTGGCTGTGAGAAAATGCTAAGTAAAAACTCAAGGAGAAGCTTGGCATTTTGCTCAACTTGAACCACATAGTCCATTCTAGGGAAATGTGGGCTGACCACAAGAAACCATATCTAAGAGGTGTGAGAATAAAATTAGATTTCATGGGGAATTTGCCGCCCTCAGCTGGCCCTTTTAGAAAGAAACTTTATTCCTTAATTACACATTTCATTTTTCATCTCTCAGGATTGTATTTTCTTCCCCAAACTTTGAACAAGAGGCCAGAAATGGATTAGGCAAAGTAGAACAGCTGCAGTTTAATGGTCAGGAGTGTTAAAAATTCTGGAAGGCGGTGGGACTAGGATTTACTCTTCAGGAGAAATTTTGAGCTACTTATATTAAACCAAAAGAAAAAAGGGGAAAGGAAAGGAAGAAAAGCAGAGGTTGAGAGGGTGCAGGAGGAAATGAAACAAATAGAATTTGATAGCAAAACCAATGCTGTTCTTCCCTTTTCTTCCTTTTAGTAAAAATAAAAAGTTGGGTAAATACGTAAATTATTCCGACGAGGCATTAGGAGTTCTGAGATCCGTTCCCATTGTTTGCAGGATCGTTAGAGACAACCACTTCAGCCACATCTCAGTTACTTATGTTATCGGGAATGGTCTGTGGATAATCAGAATTTTAAACCCTCCCCATAAGCAATAGCTTTACCTGCCTTCTCTTTTATTTAAACCCTTTACCAGAAGCACTCACACATAGGGACTACCATGATTTGCGTCCCGTGTTCTCTCATCGTCTTCCTGTTTTGTGGTGGCGGTGCTGTGAGAAACAATGGACTGGTTAATCCATAAGCACGGAGCATCGGGCTCTTGAATCCCTGAGAACCAGCTGCATCCCTCACTCTCAGGGGCTCAGTTTTCCATCTGGCCTCTCTGGGGGGGGCTTCAAACAGACCATCAAAGGCCCTTGGAAGAGCACTAGTGAGTGGCGGGGGTCCTAGAATCCACAGGGCTCCCCACCTGGGGGGGGGGTGTCAATTGAGTAACCTTCAGTGCCCATGGGCTGTTTTCTACTTGAGATCATTGCACTGAGGGTGACAGAAGGACGTACAGGAGCAATTTGAGCAGCTGAGGATTCTGGGGTGTAAACTCAGTTTGGACACAGATATAGAGGTGGAAGGGTGTTCTGGCCTCACGATGCCTCCAGCTGCTAGAGCCATTCCTGCCCTCTTCCGTCCAGCGGCCATGGGGGCCTCGCAGTGCACTGTCTAAGCAATTACACTGCCTCATCTCGCGCTCCTTCTCCCCTTAGACGCATCTGACCTTCGGGAAGGAGTTCACAGAAGCGGTAGAAGCCAAACAGGTGGCCCAGCAGGAAGCGGAGAGGGCCAGATTTGTGGTGGAAAAGGTGAGTGTTAGACCAGATGGTGGAGCCTCTCTTCTCTTTCTCCTGTGCTCAGCCTCCCTGTTTGCTGGGTGGCCTGGAAATTCATCATCTGTCATCTCTTCTTCTGGGATCACTGGAAGGGGATGGAAGGGACCCTACTCCTGCAATTGGTTCCAGAGTCTTTGGGGTCTAGTCAAGGATATGTAAAGTTATGTTTCTAAATCACTGAAGGGCCGTTTTGGTTTTTTTTTTCTACTTCCCTAAGATCAAAAATACTCCTACAAATAAAAATTGTTTCTCCTGGAATATTTTCAGCTTCACTGAGAAGTCATTTTTAACTGTAGTTACACAGTGAAAGCTGACAGCAGAAAGGATCAAACGTTGCGCCAGATGCCATATCGTCACTGGGTTTTTTTCAAGTGCTAAATCCATCCAGATGTGTCAGAGTGCGATGGGACACAGTATATTTGCATAGCAGCCTGGTCTTCCCGGTCTCTGCAAAGGTGTATTTACTTCTTGCTACCCGCCTCTCTCCTCCACTAGTTCTCTTGGGTTGATATTCTAATCCAAGACCCTTTAGTCCTTAACATCAGGGAAAAGGGGAATATATGGGTGGCTAGCATTTAATTTTAGGGAATGTAAACTCTGCAAGCAGGGACTTTTTTTGCTTTGTATCTGCCTATCTCCAGCGCCTAGAACATGCCTAAGACTGCCTGGGGTTACTAGGTGCCCAGTAAACATCTGTTGAGCAGACAGTCATAGAGCCTAGAAGTTCAGCGATTTCAAAATTGTGTGTTCATTTCAGAGAGGCTTGGTGCTGTACTACCCCCGCGCCTCTGAAGGTCATGCATTGCCGATAGATGTCATCCTATTGAAACGTGTAGGGAAAGCCCAGGAGATCTCATTCTGGGTGCCTGGCTTCCTGGTCAGGAACCACTTTAACTCACAGGCAACTCTAGGGAGTGTCACACACATGCCTGCTGCCCCTGCTTAGCTACACTGGTTTTTGGTGAGTCACTTTGACTTGGGACTGGAGGGAAAGGTGAGCCTGAGGACTGATTCCACCTTTTTTACTCTCCTGTTTCCCTTGGCCTGGGATGCTCCCAGCACAGAAGAGGGCGGCCGGGCTAGGTTGCTATTAATATTAAAGAAGATTTTGAAATAAGATAGATATTTATGCAGCCGACAGAAACGTATCCCTACAGTGATGAGAAGTGGGCGGTACAGGACAGGACGATCGGATGGAGAGTGCTTATTGACCCCATTGCGCAGAGGAGGCAAATCCCCAGAGTTCCTGCAGGAACCAGTGAAGGTGCCTAACCTGGACCTTCCAGGCTATAGCCTGCCTTCCGGGGCCCTGAGGTGTGACCTTGGTCTCTCTCCACCTCCGCTCCCTTAGGCCGAGCAGCAGAAGAAGGCGGCCATCATCTCTGCCGAGGGCGATTCCAAGGCTGCTGAGCTGATCGCCAAC